CATTTAATTGTCCAAACAATATTCAATATTACCACAAACATTTCTTAGCAATTAACTAAGAGAAAGTTATATAGATATATATATATAGATACACTTTTCCCTGCATTTTTCTCCACTTCTTATCCCAGTTTCTCTTGCTTTTTCTTCCCATTCTACATCTATTATACATTTTGGATTTTACTTATTCTTTCAGCTTCTTGCACTAGAGACACAATACAATGTTTGCACATGTGAGTCTAGTTTATTTCACTCATGCGTGGGTCTCAAGTTACTTCCATTTACCTATAAGAGTCTCCAGTTTATCCTTTTTTGTAGCTGAATAATACTCCACTGTACAAAAAGACCACATCTTTTTTTATCCATTCCTTGATTCATGGATATTTGCACTGTTTCCTAGATTTAGCTAGGACAAACTGTGCTGCTATAAACATGGGTGCACATAGATCACTGTTGTACGATGTTCTTAAAACTTATGGGAAGATATCAAGAAGGGGAATAGCTGGATCAAACGGGACCACCAATCCTAGGTTTTTGAGGAATCTTCACACTGATTTCTGCAGTGCTTTTACCAGTCTGCCCTCCTGCCAACAGTGGGGAAGGGTTCCTTTTTGTTATTGGTTGATGATTTGATAAAAGCCACTCTTTTGCGGGTGAGATGAAATCTCAGTGTTATTTGAATTTGCATCTCTTGAATGACGAGTGATGTTGAATATTTTTTAATAAATTCATTTGCTGTATTTCTTTTCTTTGAGAAGTGTGTATTCACCTCAGATAGCCATCTTTGGATTGGGCCTTACATTTGGGTAGTCTTTTATTTTATTTTAGTTCTTTATACATTCTCAATGGTAATCATTTGTCTCAGGAACAACTGACAAGCATTTTTTCCCACATTGTAGGTTGTCTCCTGACTCTTTTGGTGGTTTCCCTTATGTAAAAGCTTTTTAATAAAATGAGACCCCTGGTATCGATCCTTTGTGATAGTTCCTATGGGATTGGGGCTCTACTCAAAGTCTTTGCCTACACCAATGTCTTTAAGATTTTTATCTATTCTTTCTCCCATCAGATTTAATGTTTCTGTTTTAATATTTAGATCTTCAATCCATTTCTAATTTAGTTCAACGCATGGTGAAAGATATGGGTCAAATTTTAATGTTGGGCATATGCAGAGACTGGGGATTGAACTTAGGCCCTTGTGCTTGCCAGGTAAGCTCTTATTCTACTGAGCCATCTCCCTGGCCCCAACAGAACCATTTATTAAAGAGGCTGTCTTCAGTGAATGTGTTTGGCAATTTTGTCAAAGATAAGGTGGCGGAGTAAGTCTGGAGTTGTTTCTGCATCTTCTAATCTATTCCATCGATCTTTAGGTCTGTTTTATTTTTCAGAACCACACTGTTTTTATCACAGTAACTTTTATCATATAATTTCAAGTCAGGGATTTTACTGCTATTCTAGCTCTCTTCTGGTTCCAAAAGAATTTTAAGATCATTTCTCTAATTCTGTGAGACATGCTGTTGCAATTTCGATTGGCATTGCATTAAATCTGTATAACAGTTTTGGAAGTATGGCCATTTTCACTATATTGGTGATTCCTACCCAAGAGCAAAGGATCGCTTTCCATTTTCTGGTATCCTCTTGAATCTCCCTTTGCAGAGTACTGTACTTTTCAACAGAGAGGTCTTTTATATCCTTTGTTATATTGAATCCTAGGTCTCTCTTTCTTTCTTTCTTTCTTTCTTTTTTTCTGGGTGCTACTGGGAAAGGTGTTTTTTTCCCCTAATTTCTGTCTCAGTGAGTTTGTTCTTCACATACAGGAAAGCTATTGATTTTTGAGTGGTGACTTTGTATTCATCTATGCTATTGAATTTGCTTGTTAAGTCTAGTAGGTTTTTGGTGACATTTTGGGGGTCTTCTATATAGAGTATCATGTCATTTACAGATAATAATTTAACTGCCTCCATTTCTATCATTATTCCTTTTATTTCTTTCTCTTGTGTAATTTCTCTGGTTAACGTTTCCAGTAAGAGTGGATCGAATGTACATCCTTGTCTTGTACCTGCTTTTTTCAGAGAAAATCACAAATGCAGTCTCCCACTACCACCAGCCATGCAGTTGAGTTTCCTGCACTTGCTGAAATTTCAGGGGTCAGCACATCTGAAGTGCAATAGATGAGCCTCATGCTGGGAAAGCCACCTTCATGATCATAGTATCTCCCCCTCCAGGTAAGTATTTGTACCTGATTTTAGAATGACAACTTTCAGTTTTTGTCCATTTAGTATAATGTTGACTGTTAGCTTATCACTGATGGCTTTTATGAGATTTAGATGAAACCATCTATTCCAATGTTCTGTAGGGTTTTTTTTTTTTTATTATGAATGGGATCTAGACTTTGTCAAAGGTTTTTTTCTGCATCTATTGAGATGATCATATGATTTTTGTCCTTGGCTCTATTAATATGGAATATTACATTTATTGATTTGTATATGTTGAACTATCCCTGGGATGAATCTCACTTAGTCATGGTGCATAATCTTCTTGATGATTTGCTGCATTCTGTTTGCCAGTATCTTATTGGGGATTTTTGAATCTATGCTCATTAGAGAGACTGGTCTTAATTCTCTTTCCTAGTTGGGTCCTTCTCCAGTTGTAGTATCGGGGTAATGCTTGCTTTCAGGAATAAATCTGGGAGTATTATTTCCCTTTCAATTTCATTAAAGTGTTTAAAAAGTAGTTGTGTTAGTTCTCTAAATTTCTTGTAGAATTCAGCAGCTAATCTTTTGGGGGCTTGGACTTTTCTTTCTTAGTAGGCTTTTAATTACATCTTCTATTTCATTGATTGTTGTTGGCTTATTTAGGATTTTTGCATCTCCTTGATTCAGCTTTTATAATTCATATGTATCTAGGAATCTGTCTATTTCTTCTGCATTTTCCATCTTATTAGAATACAAGTTTTCAAAGTAGGTTATAGATGATCTGGATTTCTAAAAGTTGGCTGCAATTTCACCCTTTTCATTCCTAACTGCATGGATTGAACCTTTTGCTTCCTTTTTTGATAAGGTTAGATAAGAGTTTGTTAATTTTATCTAATCTTTCAAAGAACTAACTCTTCAATTCATTAATTCTTTGCATTGTTTTCTCAGTCTCCAAAGCATTCATTTCTGCTCTGATGTTTGCAATTTACTTCCTTGTATGAGCTTTTGTCTTAGCCTGTTGTTCTTTTCCTAGAAGCTTGAGACTCACCATTAAGTTATTTGTTTGTGCTTGTTCTAATTTCCTGATATGAGTGTTCATTGCTGTAGATGTCCCTCTTAGGATTGCTTTCATTGTATCCCCTAAGTTTCAATATGTTGTCTAGTCATTACCATATATTTGTACAAACTGTCTAATATCTACTTTAATTTCATCTGTGACCCATTGGTTGTTCAGGAAAGTGCTAGAAACCACATTCACACTCACATAAAAACAAGATCAAGCAATGAAGGTGAAAAATAGCAAAAACAAAACTTCAGAAACAAACAAAACAAGAGAGAAAGAAAAGAGACAGAAAAAAAGAAAAAGTCCACTTCCAGGTTTGTTTCTGCTGTGACTAGCAGACAATGTGTGGAGACAGAGTCCTAATCCATGTTGGTTTATCCTAATAAGCCAACAGGAGCTTATCAATATGGTATCCGATCATCTCAGCAGGCCTGCACCTTCTGATCGAGAACAGACTCAATCAGCCTGCAGCTGTCAGTGCACTAGATGGAGCTAGCAGCCACTCTGAGGTCTGAGCTCAGTTGGCCCCTCCCCAAGACGGCTCCTGGCCAAGTGCTTTACCATGAGACCACTGAGCCCTCAGCACTCACGGCCCAATAGTGCGGTCCTTCGTATTTGCTGCTCCCCCCCACTGTTGTGTCTCTGTGGAGACACACTAGCAGTCACTGTGTGTCCACAGGTCTGAATTTCTTCTCTTGAGCAGTAAGCACCAATCTCAGGGAAAAGGCACTGCTGGCTACCTCCTTCTTCTTCACTGAAGTTTTTTGCTCACTCTCTCCATGGGCTTCAAGTCAAACTTAAGATCCTTCCTGAGTGCAGAGACCTCCTTTCCCTCCTTCCTGTCTTCCATCATCTGGTTAGCAATTCTCAGAGAGGCTCTTTTTACTAGTGTATAACACTGCCATCTTGGCCCAACTCCTCATCAAACTTCAGATTTAGAAAAGGGAAGAAATTTTATTCCCTTGAGAAAATGGCAATCCCCTCCAGAAAAGTCAAGCATTTAAGGTCATCAGTAACTTACCACTCAGGGTGGAAGAGTTCCTGGTATCATTTGATCTTGATCCTGTAATAGAAATCAGTAAAGAATAAAGTACATTCTGACAGGGAGCAAAGACACCAGGACAAAGATTAAGGGTAAAGAGTAAAAGGCTACACAGGCCCTACCTCAATTTGCTGAGAGCAGGGTGGCTCCAGCCACGAAGGTTCATTGGGCCATTTGTAGAACATAACCTGTATGGCAGGTACGTGTCTTGCATTTCACATATATTGCTCCTAATCTTCACATGACCCAAGAGAGTCAAGAACACTCTCTCCCTTGCGTCTAAAGAGGCCCCTCTGAAGGTCAAGTGACTTGCCCACCCCTGTATAGCATGCAAGCAGCGGGACCAGGATTTCAGCCTTGATCTGTCTGGCTCCAAAACACCAAGTTGCCCCCTATAATTTGACAGTTCTTCTCAAAAATTACGGGCTAATCTATGGAAGGAGTCAAAACTTTAACCCTCCCTGTGGCAGAAGGGCAGGATGGGCTCAGCCACACAGTTCCATGATAAATAATGGAAGCCATAAACAAGAGAAGACATCTGACAGCAATAACACCAATCATAATAAAAGTAATAGAAACAACAGGAACAGCAAGTGTTTATGAAGCCCTGTGGCCAACGCCGTATTAAGTGCTTCACGCAGATCCTCTCCTTTATCCATCTCATCAACCTTAGACCAGTGCCTTTATTATCCTCATTTTCCAGAGAAGGATGCTGAGGTTTAGTGAGGTTAAGTACTTCCCTGAAGTTACACAGCTGGTATTCAGGCAGCGGACCCTAGAGTTCATGTTCTGAGCATGTTCCACCCTATCTGTGAGCCCAGGCCTCCAACTCTGGCATCCAGGGTTCTTGTTTCTCTGGAGGCAGCTCTATCATCCTTCCCCCAAACAGCTGCCTGCCACCTGGGGCACATCCTGGCCCCCTCCCCTGGCCTGCCTTGCCTGCACCACCTCACAGCCATGTGGGCAAACACCCTGCCTCTCCCTAGGCAGGGGACGCTCGATTTGCATAACTTAATTAAATTCTGCATTCTCGTTTTCAGAGGAGCAGGCCTATGAAGGATGCTGAGTGCATGGTCTTAAGGCAAATCAACGCAGATGATGAAAGAGCCTATTTCGGTTAAGCAAATTATGAGGAGGCGGGCAATGTCCTCACTCTAATAATTTCCCGTGAATTATTTATATGGAAACTGCAATTACATCGGGCAAAACAGTGTTGTGTGCATAAAGCTCACTTAATTACCCAACCACCTGTTGGGACACAGGGTCCTCCAACAGCCAATTTCTTCCCCCAACAGGTCCTTCCTGTGGGAAGACCTGGGCCTTCAGGCAGTCAGGAGCGGGAGGAAAATCAGGCTGCAAGGGAAACAGGCACATCCTGCCTCTCAGACCCAGGCTCGGTGCTGGCTGCCACTGGTCCAGCCTGGAATTTCTACTTTTGTAAGGACCTGGGCACCCCTTGACCTCACTTCATCAGTGTCCCTGCTGTTCCCTGATAAATAGCCCAGAAGGTGAGTGAGAAAGAAGAAGAAGAGAGGAAGAAACAGGGAGCCCCACACCCTCCCCAACAAACCCTTTAACCAAAGCAAACGAGACGACTCCTTTCATCAGTGCCTGGTTGTTTAACTGGAAATGAGGGTTGCTATGGCAACCATCCTGTCACATAGTATTTCTTACCACTTGCCAGCCGGAGAGGCGTTGATGTGTAGAGGAGAACCCTGGCTGGGTGGAGAAGGTCGGGGAGGGGGCACATTGTTTGTGATACATTTGCTGAAACTCAAGGTCGCATAGGCCTGTCCCTAACCTGGGCATCTTGGATCATCTCGTCCTTTCCAGGATCATGGAGGTGGGGCCGGGGGATAAACATCCTGTTCTCCTTACCCCCCTGGGAGAAAAACATTGTAAATGTCAGAAATGTGATGGAACTGTCAAAAATACATGAGACTGGTGATAGAATAAATGGTGAAACATACATTCTTCTTTGTTCTGTGACTGTAAAAATCATGAAATCTTTCTTCAAGAAAAAGTGAAAACAAAGAAAATTTATGACCACAGGGAGTGGTTCAGCGGGAACATCTGCCCCAAGAGTGGGAGAAGCAGCCCCCGCCTTTACACCTGAATTGTAATGCAGGTTGGTTCGGGGCCAGGGTAATAGACCTGGATCCAGCTAAAGGGTGGACACAACGTAAGGTGAGTCACCGATGCTAAAAACTTGGGGGCCGGGGGTGTGGGGATCAGGACTGCCCAGGACTGATGAATACTGGAAGTTGCTAGGGACCAGGAACCATCATGCAAACCGTGTGAAACTGATTGACAGAAAGGTCCTTCAGTTAGCTCAGAAGTTCAGGTACGATGCTTATAACACTCTGATTTATTGCACAGCTAATGATACACCCAGTAGGTGGAGAAAATAGTAATTGTATGTAGATAGTTTAAACAGTGATAGCTGTTTCCACACGTGGAGCACTGAGAATATGCCAAGCCCTGAATTGTGCTCACAGACTGATCAGGAATCCCATCTTTTGGACTAAGAAACTGAGTCTGAGAGCTTAAGCAGCATGACCTGGCTACAAAATTAGGCAACAGCAAAATCTACCTAGAAACTGAGGTCCTGCCGACTCACGCTGCTGCCCTGCAGACCGGGAAGAAGTTTGGAGATCATGCTGCAAGTCCTCCACCAGCCAAGCCCAAGTCGCTGCTGTAGTTGGTCTCCATGCAGTCTAGGACCAGCTGCTTAACAGGGATGAAATGGAGTGTTTTTTCTCCTTTAAAGATTTACCATGTATAAATGTATGAGAATATTAAAGGCAACAATTAACTTTATTGGAAACCTTATATTCTCCAACCTCATTAGAGCTGCCAACAAGATCTATTATTAGTATTACTATGCAGATACTGTAATAAAAAGGGTATTTAAAGTGGATAGTTTGGCAATG